GCGGGCTACGGAGCCTTTGGGGGTTGCCCGTATAGTGGCTGGCGCCGAGGCCACAGGTACCTCAGTGGCAACTGCGGGCCCTGCTAAACCCCATATATCCATGGAGTTCAGTGCTGCATCTGCCCTCTGTCTCCACAAGTAGCACCTCTTGTCTTCTACCACCAGATGAAGAAGAAAGCTTTCAGCCCCTCTTTAGGCTGTGGCAAAGCAGCTGCTTGAACTTTATGGTCCTTGCTTATTTGCACAGAGTAACCTTGCAGATCTTCAGCTGGCCGGTTTAGGTTTTCCAGCACTGCCTACAAAAGCTTCCCTCTATCTGCGATACAATGAAGCTGTACTCATCCTCGGATGTTTGTCTCTCCTGCTCTGCCCAGCTCTGAGACTCCCATCCTGCAATAGGAGGTGGGCTTCTTTGGAGTGGAGCCCTGGATTGTGCCTTGCTGCAGCCTTATGATTTTCATTTTTCCAAGTCGTCATTTCTGTGTTGTTTTGCTTCTTGCTGACACTGTCTATTGCATTTTCCATCGACATTAAAGAATCTGCATTGTATGAATAATTTTTTTTGGTCTGAATTTGTTCTTCACTGTGGCTGGAATTATGTCTATAACTGAGTGATGATGTGAAATTTTAGATGGCAATTCATTTGCTAAAAACATTTGTGTAAGCTCTGAATTTCTCTTAGAAAAGACTTTTGAGCTGCAAGGTAGGGAAGTTACTAGTAAATGATTAGCTTCATCACAAAAGACATTTCAAAGGTGAAATAGCACTTTCTGTTTTGTGAGGTCTATAGAGGGCTGAAAACTAAACTAGTGGCGTACTTCTTTCCCATTCATACTCTGCAACCTGTTCTCACCAGTCAGTCATGATGCTCAGGGTGATGCACTGAGTATGCACCCTGCAATGTGGCTAGTGCATTCATGAGTGCTGTCATCTGGGGGCAGCCCGAGGGCATCTTTCCTTCTGTGACCTCAGGGAAGTTCTGCACAGTGTGTCAGAGGGCTGCATGTGGGCTGTGCATTTCTCGACCCTGCCGGCTGCACTCAGGTATTCATGCCTTGCTTTGGGCTTTGGGCAAAGTGCTGGAAAGCTGCTCTGTCCTGAGATGGACGTGGCAAATTTGGAGCTGAGCATTATCCAAGCCCTTGCAGGGACTGCTGTTACAAGCGGCAACTGCCAGGGACTCAGGCTGGTCCCGGAGAGTGCCAAATGTTCAGCACATGTTTAATGACATTGCATAGAAAAGTATTGCTGGAATTTTGTGACATTTGCAGTCAAAGAAAAAACATGGCATACCTATGACCAAGGATAAATATACTATAAATTGAATTGATAAAGAAACAAAGAAGGAAATGATTATGTGGTAATGAAAACCAGAAGACATACTTTGGTACAGAAAATTTATTTGGAAAGAGACAGCTTTTCTACAATTCTGGAACAAAATTGTACAGAATATAATGACCATCTTTCCAGGAGTTCAGTGAGGCTCTGGCTAATCACCAGGGTCAAAGTGGTGCAGTCTATAAAAAATGTTTTTTCTCCTTTGGTGCAGTTGCTGTGTGCAATTTCTAGCATCCTAAGTCACCTCTCTAAGTTCAGTGTCAATAATATAACTGAAATAAGACAAAGCACAATGTAAGCAGATGACTAAACTGGAAAGCCAGAGGATAACAGTTCTAAACTAAAGGCAAAATCAGAAAATGCACACAGGAGCCTGCCTTTCACAGGTGCTGAGCATTTGCAGCTCTCAGTCTTTTCAGCTGGAGCCAGACAACACCCAGCACTTGGGCTGGTGCTTATCAGCTCCACCCCCAATTTGCATCTTGAGTTTCCTTTGCTGCTTCTTTAAATTGCTGTGTGCACACCATGGCTGAGCTTAGTATGTCCGCCGTTTTCCGGAGCGGTATGAATTGCATGGATGTGTCCATTGGGAAGAATAGGTGTAGGAGTATTTTGGGGCACACCGTGGCTCAGGTCGGGAAATGACCTGGGGGGCAATTTTCTCAATTGCTGCCTCCAGTCTCCCTGTTACCTCTGCTGGCAGAGGTGCTGTGGCGGGGGGCGCTGCCAGGGCCACCTCAGAGGGCTCTGAGGCTCCCACGACGGTTTGCTGCGGGTAAGTGGTGAGGATGGGCCCTGGGAAGGTGACAACGACAGGTGGTGGGTATATAATCACACGGGAGTCACCGCAGGCCACGACGCAGGGCTCATTGTTGCTGGTGGCCAGGGGCTGGGGACACTTTGCCTCGCAGGGGTTGGTGCATGCCAGCTGGTCGGAAGCCATCGCTAGGCTGTGGTAGGGGAGTACCTGCAATTTATTTGCAGAATTAGAAAAAAAAAAACCCCGCAACCCATGCACTTGATTATCGACACCTCTAAGCTTGGCTCTAAGAGATCTTTAGACAGAAATAATTTGGATAAAGACAGCAGCTGAGCTCCTTTCCTTGTATCTGCCACCTTTTACTTAGCCTGCATCTATTTGTCCTTTCTAATTTGCTGCTTTAAGCTTGCTCTCTTTACTTCTCTTTGTCTGGGAGCAAAAATCCTCCCCTTTCTTTGCATGCCGCCTCCAAAACAGACATCTGTTCTAAAATCTTCCAGTCCTTTGTAATATTTCCTGGAGACAAGTTTGAACTTGTTCCCACAGCATCTCTTTTCCTCCCACACGAAGCTTCTCAGGGCAGTGCCTACATTCTGTGTTTTACAGATGGGGTGTAAGGGAGTGAGGGAAAAAAAATCTGGTTTTTTGATAGATTTGAGTGTTGAGTAATCTAAATGGATTACTAAGAAGCCTGTTTAATTTCCTATATTATTTTCCTTGCAGATTCCTCTTATTATCAGGTACTAAAAGGTTCCACTAAAATACAGAAAAATTAAAGGCTAAGAATAAATGGGGGATTAAAAATACTGGTTTAATAATTAAGACACATCACTTAATATTTATATTGTGGTGATATTGTCAACCCAAATATGAAATTTGCAGCTTCAGCTAGGGTACACACGTTTAATAGTGTTTATTTCTTTCTTCAGATTAAATCTTCACAGAAAAGCTAGTTCTCCATGGTATAGCATCGCACTATTTTTTTAAACTTGTAAATCAAAGATACCTTAAAGTGATGAATAGGGCAAAAGTATTATTTTATTCTCAGTTAAGTCCTGTGTGCTGCAGTATACTAGAGCTGCTGTCCTTGAGAACATTTGAAAGACGAGGACTAGGGGACACTGCAGCTTTGCAGTACTCCTTACAATAAATAAACAGAAAATGCAGAATGTTTCTAAGGCAGATGGTGGGTGACTTGGAGCTAACCTCTGAAATCTGCAAGTCTTATCTATGGAGAAGCAGTATACAGGATCCTAAAAGATGTAGCCAGCAACACTTTCTACTAAATAAACTATTATATTGCCAAGCATAAAGTAAAAATATCCTGAAAGCTACTTTCCTCCACTTCAGAAGCTCAGTGCTATTTTGCACCAGGTGCTAGCAGCATGCCGGCACAGGGGAATGGGCAGGGCAATGAGCTCTTTGATCTATTTACTTGTCTCAACTATGTTCAGAGGAAAGCAAAAGTATCCTCAAATGTATCATGCTGGGAAAAAAAAAAAAGGCAAAAAACATGCATAGCACTTTCCCCCAGATACCCTTAGGTTAGAACATAGCTTTGACCTAAAAAATTGCTTAATTTAATCTCTGTAAAAACACATAAAATACTAGCAAAGTTTTAGCAGTTAGAAATGAAAGCTTATTTGCACTGTTACATTAAGTAATAGTATCTAATCATCACTTGATGTGGCTTGTTGTGGCTCCAATTAAATTAGCTAAGGATGGGCAGATTATGAACAACAGCAATGCTGCATGTCTATAGCTACACAGAACTAACTTCGAGCAAGGATTTTACTTCAATAGTTATCTATGAAATCCCCCTACCTAACAACTGCTGAATCCCTTAATCATGCCATATATGAAAAAACAATGCTAGAATCTATTCTCAGAGCTCTTCTGAAATTTTTTCAGAACTAAGAGATTGAAACTCCTTATTCTCCCATAAAATTAACAGCCCAAATCAGTCTTGAAAAGCCCTTGCTTTTATTTTTACATCCTTTATCCAGCATAGAAAACATCTGTAGAAAGATGCTTACTAAAGTCTCTGAGAGCCAGAATATTTATGCAGGATTTAGTCCCAATTTTAACAAAATTCATGCTAAAGCAAAATTAAACTCAAGGTTTTTATAGTTGTCAAATCAGACTTACTCAGTGTACCGGAGAGAACAAGTCAAGAGAAGTAGTTAGAAAAGCCTTGCACGGAGAGAGTATTTATACCCTTTCTCAGATTGCCTGGAGGAGCTGAGACAACCTTTGTATAAAGGGCCTTAATTACTTATGAAGCAAACTTTGTTGCATGTATTACTCCTGTAGTTGCAGTAATTGTTTTGCTCACTGTTTATGATTATCTAAAGCTGAGTTAGGTAATAATACACAATGCAGATGGTAACTTGCAAGTTCTTTTCATCTTGAAATTTCCTGGTTTTACTCCACTGGTTTCATTAAGAATTAAAAATACACTAAGAATTAATAGACTTCTGGTGACTTTGCTAAAAACATGACTGCACAGGGGGTCTTGGGTGTCAGTGGTACAGTGTGTCAGCACACAAAGACTTACTTTCCTTATTGGAAATACAAGCTAACATCTAGCATTTGTCTCCATGCCTAGATAAATCTCTAGAAACACAGGGCTCGGTTTTCATCTGATATAATGTTAATGAAGTTTACAGATGTGTTCTTACCTAAGCCGGAGGAAGTATCTGGTGCAAAAACTTTAAAGAGCAAAACTATCAGAGTTATCTTTTAAATAAAAATGAAGCCATCTCCAATTATGAAGCTTAAAATGAGGAGTTGATTAAATAAATGTTTTACATATTTCATTCCACATGAGGTTGGAGCAGTCTAAATCCACTAGGATATTATTACCATTAACATAAAATAATTTCCATGTATGACGTACTAACAGATGTTTGTGAACTTCTTTGAAATCTCATTTTCTGATGTCTCCAGAATATTTCTGATAAGCTCCACAGCCCAGGGGATCTTTAGG